TCAAAATGTTGAGCAATATCGTTTCAATCTAAACACAGAAATGAAAAAAGAGCAGATGATTTCCCTTTTGCTGTAATTCACTTTGGGATGTATGTCATAAAGAGCACTATACAAAAGCAATTTTCATTGATTGACTGACTGATTGAGGAAAGGGTGAATGTTCTTTCAGTTTATGTCCCTACTGAAGTATGATTCTTATAGCTCCTGACAGCTCCTCACAATTTGTAGTTAAATGCCAGGTCAGTGCAAAAAAAGAGGTGGGGGGAGGGCGAAAGGGAGAGAACACAATTAGAACATTTTTGGGTTTTTGGTATGTAAGCCAAACAGTTAAACACATGTGGGTAGATAAATTCAAAACTAAATGTTCTAATTCCTTCATTCAACGTATTTAGAGTTTAGAGAATATAATTGCTAAAAATACTTGTTAATACCAGGTAAGCCAATTGCAGAATCTAATCAGTAAGGCTGCTCTCACACAGTCCTGGTTCTGCTTCTGTGGAAGGCACTGCTCTTAGTTTAACCAGAAGTTCTCACTTAGAGAAGCCTCAGTGTTCTATTCTGATTGTCTGAAAGGGAATTAGCCATGTCTTGGAAGTGCCCCTATAATTCTGTAACCCCCTCCCTCATTTACCAACTGGGGCAAGTCTTTCACTCTGAGAGATAACAAATAAATGCTGACCTCTGGGTTCTGGATGGAAATGCTGAACATGACTAATAAAATGATAAAATAAAAACAATTTCACAGAGAAGTTTGATCTTTACAGATCAGTGCTCACTCACTGTTCCACTGGCCTGTTCTTAAAATTTTAGTTTATCTTTCTAATGACATAAAAACACAGGGGATTTTTTTTATTTTTTAATAAATATTTTTATTGATTTCAGAGAAGAAGGGAGAGGGAGAGAGAGGTAGAAACACCAAGGATGAGAGAGAACCATTGATCAGTTGCCTCTTGCACATCCCCTACTGGGGACCGAACTAGCAACCCAGGCATGCGCCCTTGACCAGAATGGAATCTGGGACCCTTTGGTCCGCAGGCTGACCTTCTATCCACAAACCAGTTAGGGCAAGGGATTTTTTCTTAATACGTATAAACTGGGTTTTTCTCAATTGTTAAATCAAAACAATGCTGGTTAGACAATAATCCTTACTTGAAATAGAGCCACTTAATTATAATGCATCTTCAAATGGACTACATTTAATGCTTGCAAAGTTAGATTTGTTTGCAACATATGATAGATGGCTTATTGGGAAAATGTTTTTAAAAACATTGAAGATCTAAAGCCACATAGCAGGTCAAAAGACACACAGTTAAGGTGTGAGGCACTTAAAATGTCATTCCCAGGCTGCTGCACACAAATGGAAGGCCTATTAAGATGCTAGAAAACCCTTTAAGTGGGCTCCTTCCTCATTTGCTCTGGAAGCTTCAGGAGATAACTTCTGCAATTTGGAATTGACACTCCTCATGCAATTATGCTTCCAGCAATATAGATCCAGGTTGGGGGGAAAAACAACTCAAACTAGTAAATAATTGCAGTATCACTGCATCAGTTTAGCTTAAAGAGCTGACAAACCCTCTCTAAACTCCAAGCACAATTAGTCATTAGGGTCTAGTTTTTCAGCACTGTTAAGCAATTTGTAACCCATTCCTTTTAATAGGGTTAGGCATTACTTAACGGACACAGATGTCTTGAAAACTGAAACCTCCAGTTATGAAGCAGCAACCTTGTTCATTACCTCCTGTGATAGGCAAATCATCTATAAAATCAGCATTTAATGGGCGACCAATGAATAATCAATGGCTCACTTTTCATCTGAGTGTGAAAATGAGAATAATCTAATACACAGTCCCTCTGGTAAAAGGCTGAACCTTGGCTCCGCTACTCTTCAGGGCTGATTTATAAGGTCTTGGGAAGATGATGTAAACAGATGATCAATGGGACCCACCCTTGCTCATAATAACCCCCAACTGGCCCACTCCCTCTTTTCCAAGTCCATCCCTTCAGGCTATGAGCTCTGTCCGGCTAATTCTTCCCACTCCTCCTGCCTGCTGCTTTTACTCCGGCCATCCGTTCAGTCCAGCCGACTCAGAAGTAATTTTATACGCAGCAGAGAGCGGGTGGAATTGATTTTTCACTCAGTGCTCAGTTCCCATCTGAATAATTATCAATTTTACTGCCTCATAAAGGGAAGAGTCAAAATTTCAAATCAATTCAAAAGAGCTTTTGAGATGACAGAAATTGTGCATAGAATAGAGGTCAAAGTTGTCAGTGACCTAAGGAGATGATGTCAGATAGTACCATGCCCAATAGTTGACATCAGAGGCACTCAAGATGATCCAACCTAGTGCTAATGCAAATCATATTTATGCTGACTACCAGATACCAGGCATTAATATTTAAAATGCTATCTGAAAGCCTACATTCCAAATAAATAGAATGTATTCCACTGCTAATAAAGATATATCACTATTTAGTCATTCACTATAAAGTAAAGGATTACCAAGTATTATTAACACAGAAATTACTTAAACCAACAAATGCATGGTAATTCTGAGTAAAGACAAACCTGCTGTCTCCACAGCCATGAGACTTGCTCTGCGCTGTCGGACGGCACTTGTCTAAGGCCACAGCCTATTGACTTTTGCTAACATTTTCCAAGTTTAAAAGTTTCTGCCAAAGCTTATAGGACAATATTGTGACCATGGCAGAGTGCTGCTGGCAGGAGGGATTTGGTGGTGCACTTGCTGCCTGCCACGGTGGGGTGGGGGCTGGGTCTGACCCCTGGCCAACCTATGGCATTTATTTTCTCCATGGGCTACAGGCACTAAGTCTGTGGTTTCCAACCTGCTCCTTGCAAAAACACCTGAGGGCTATGACACACTCCCAGTAATGCCAGAGGCTTCTGCAGTTGGGTAGGTAGGGAGTGGGGAGGAGAGGTACACCCAACTTTTGATGGAATGTGTATTTTGAAAAGACGGTCCAGTTGAATCTTCAATCTTATCCCCACCAACTAGTCCCTTGAAAACCAAAGGTATAAGCGGCGAGGACTTGGGCTTTTGAGACAAACAGACCTTAGTTCACATCCCACTTTCCAGTTAATCTCTCTAGCCTCAATGTATTCATCGCAAAATGGGGGTGATGAAATCCACATTTCAGGGTTGTTTCGGGAGTCTAAAAGAGAAGACCCTAAAAGTCCTCTTCTCCTATGTCACTCTGCCATCACTATATTAATCAAATTCTCATAGAATTGGTTAGTTACCTGTCTCTGTCCCATCTGACAGGAGCCTTTTTGAGGAGTGAAATTATGTCATATGAGTCTTTTAAAAAAATCCTCACCAGAGGACATTTTCCCACTGATTTTTAGAGAGAGTGGAAGGGAGGTGGAGGGACAGATAGAGAGAAACATCAATGTGAGAGAACACATCGACTGGTTATCTCCAACACATGCCCTGACCAGGGCAGGAATTAAGCCTGCAACTGAGGTACATGCCCTTAATCATGTACGTCTGACCCCAAGAGCTGTCAGTCCGAGGGCTGACCCTTTATCCACTGAGCCAAACTATCAGTCAGGGCTTATGAGTCTTAATCGCTCTTGTACCTTGTACACAGAAATTCCTCAATAAATGTGAGTTATCTTCTACTATTTACTGAATCACTAACATGTAATAATTCCAGAGTCATACCAAATAGTTATAGGCCTACACCCCTTTACTTCGTTACACACAATTTTAATTACACCTCTCTCCATCAGGAAAAATAACTGATTAACTGAGACCTTACCACAAATAAAGTTCACATAATTTCATTTAACTATTGGCAAAAATTAACAGCCAGGAAGAAAAACTCTCTATGGCTGTTGTCGCATCCTATTTCAAGAGTGACATTTTCTATTGATTGCAGGAAACTTCTTTGCAGGTTAATGACCATATTAAAGCATTTACATTTGCAAACCAGGCTATAATGGAGATAATTTGGCAAAATAAAACAACTAGGAGCATTATAAAGATATCATTTGCCAAATCTAGTGAAACTGGAAAATATCATAGTGATGGTATTTCCATATAAAAATGTCATTTAAAAAAATATTTCCAGCATGTATATTTCTTTTTATGCATGTTGTTACTATAATTTGCAGAAATGAGCTTTTAAAAACAATATCAAACTTGGACCTAACACATATTAGCCCATCAGAAAACACACTTGACAATATATTGTGGCTTTATTACTTATTATTAAACTAGAGGCCCAGTGCACAGATTTGTGCACCGGTGGGGTCCTTTGGCCTGGCCTGTGGGGATCATGCCAAAATCAGCTCTCTGAGATCTCCCAAGGAGTCCTGGATTGTGAAAGGGTGCAGGCCAGGCGAGGGACCCACCGGTGCATGATCAGGGCTAGGGAGGGACTGCAGGAGGGCTTCAGGGCATGTCTGGTCCTGTCTTGCCCAATCCCGATTGGCCAGATGCCAGCAGCAAGCTAATCTACCAGTTGAAGTGTCTGCTCCCTGGTGGTCAGAGCATGTCATAGTGAATGGCCAAAAGATCGGACACTTAGCATAATTAGGCTTTTATTATATAGGATGCTCCTAGTAATGTGACCTATCTGAACTTTGATTTCTCATCCTAAGATGGGAAAAATACCAACCATGACGCATGAATGGGAAGTTTCCAAGCACTGACTGGGAGCCCCGGTAATGGTATTCCCAAAGTACTCACAGGGCAAAGCTATGATGACATTATTCGAGGCTCCAGGAAGAAATCAGAGGTTGACCATTTCTAGCTCTGGCTTTTCCCTTCCCCTTGGAAGAACTAGCCTCTTTCTGAATGCTGGCCTCATTGCGGCTGGGTAGTACTAAAGCTGGTGCAATATCCTACCTGCAGGGAAAATACCTAGGGAATAACTGGTAAGGAATCTCGGCATGACTAGGTGTTCTCAGCGATATTCAGGGACCAGGCTGGCATTTGGGAAACTGATTCTTAAGCCAGGTGACCAACCACCAGTACCTGCTGCAGGACATCCGGGTTCTGCTGCACGAAAAGTAACAGCCTCTGGCCGGCCTGGGTGGCCTCTCTGCAGCGGAGGGGCTTCTTGCCCTCCTTCGCTATGTGCTTGAAGAGGTAGGAGACGATGTAGTCTAAGCTGGTACAGCAGCTGGAGGAGACAACGGTATCTGTACAAATAAAAACGAGAATTAATTCGCATCACTCAAGCGTTTGTTTCACTGATTCATTACAATGACTACGTTAAAAATATCACCTTCTAGTTCCAAAGCATTTTTATCAAACTGTAAATTCCAGAGGGCAGGTATTTGGCCTTGCTCATTCTTTAAACCCACTGTCCACTATGGGATGTGGCAGGATATGTGAGGAAGTGCATGGGTCCTGGGTAGACCTGGACAGAATTTCCCACTGTCTTCAAGAGCCTCTGTTCAATTCAGTGACTTTAGTAAATATCTACTCGGTGCAAAGTGCTCTGCTTCGGGGGAAACACCTGATGCCAAAGAGGTTGTGTTTAGTATCTAAGTCACTGTAACAGCGTGCTATGTGAAATGAGTGCCACCCACTGGGAGGGCTGTGAGGGAGACATCACCGGATGGGCATCCAGGGGAGTGTGGGTAAGGAGGTAGCACCTGAGATGGACTTGGCAGTTATTCTAGTTAGACACAAGGAAGGGCATTTCTCCCGGCAAAGTTATTCTAGTTAGACACGAGGAAGGGCATTTTTCCCCCAAAAGAGATTACCACCAGGTACATATGTGGTAGAAAGGTATGGATTTTGGAGCCAGGCAGCTCTGGTTTCAAATTCCATATTTTTCAACTACTTGTTGTATTGTTACTTTGAAAGAGGCACTTAACCTTTCTCATCATTTGTAAGATGTACTGCGGAGCTAAATGAGAAGAAAATAACTAGTCTCATTACAACAGCTGGTATTTTTTGAGACTTACTGTGTTACCGCGTTTCCCCGAAAATAAGACATCCTCCAAAAATAAGACCTAGCGCATCTTTGAGAGTAAAAATTAATATAAGACACTGTCTTATTTTCGGGAAAACAGGGTAGTTACACGGATTATTACTGTTAATCCCCACACCAGCATTATAATAGTTGTTACTATTATCTCCATGTATAGGGGAGGACACTGTGGGAATAAGTGACTTGTCCACTGACACAGAGCTACATGACTGTGGAGCCATGACAAGAAAATAGACAAGGAGGAACTCTGGATCTGTGCTTTTAATCACTAAAATTAAGTAGATATTAAGCAAAATTGGGTATTAAGGAAGCATATATGTAAGCATCAGCACCTTCCGACATCACCAAGGGGCCTCAGGCTGCCCTCAAGGTGAAAGGGGAGGGTGTGCTGAGAGAGCAGGGCTTTCAGTCTGAGCGAAAGAATGTGGAAGGGGAGTCAGAGAGAGAAGGCTGACAAAGTAGGTTGGGATCTTCCTTGAGGTCATCTGATAATGGGCTGAGACATTTACATTTAATCTGAAAGGCAACAGAGGTGCTATATTATTATTCTTTTTTCAAATGTATTTTTCTTGATTTCAGAGAGGAAGAGAGAGAGAGATGGAAACATTGATGATGAGAAAGAATCATTGATTGGCTGCCTCTTCACACCCCCATCTGGGGATTAAGCCTGCAATCCAGGCATGTGCCTTGACTGGAATCGAACCCAAGACCCAAACTGGTCAGGGCAACAGAGGTGTTACTGAAGTTTTTTTTTTTTTTTTTTAAGCAAGAAAGTGACAAGATAGAACCACCATTTATTGAGTCTCCTTTGTACACCAAAACGATCGTTTCATGAACTTCTAAAAACCACTTTGTATATAGTAGGTGTTGTTATTTGTATTAATAAAAATAAAGCCTAGAGGTTAAGTAGATTACCCAAAATTCATGGATTTGATTCAGAGTGTGACACTGTCCTGCTGTTTTTGGCTAATGCTAACTATGAACATGATCCCAGAGAGCTGATGATTAGTGACAGGAACAGCCAGAGAAACCATTGAAAACACTATGGCACTCAGAAAATGGCAACGTGGTGGACTCCAAAGAGTTTACTGGGAAAGCAGATAATCAACTTATTAAGGAAATAGTTTTTTACCCTTTTGTTCACCTCCGAGGATCTGATACACGTGTGAGCCTGCCACAGATCTGAGGTGAACTATTAGCTGAACTGACTGAGGAATGGGTACGCAAAACTAACCTGAGAAAGTTTTTCAGAGGTATTGAGATGTGTTTTAATAATAAAATCCACAGTTGATACAACACTGCCATTTATAAGCCTTTCATACATACTGTTTTAGGAAGAAATGGCAGAGTAAATAGGAAAGGTAGGTTGGGGGCAAGTTGTTTTGATTGTTGACGTTATTACAGATAACCAGCATTGCCACCCCGGACCTGTGTCCACCTCCACCCCTGCCACCGCTCTGCTGACCTTCACCACTCTGATGTCTATGAACTATGCATATATGTTCTTTGGCCACTCTCTTCTTTGATCCAGTTCTCCCCCTCTCCTCTGTCAGTCTGTTTCATGTAGCCATGCATTGTGGCCAAGTTTTGAAAAACAAACGTATGTATTTAAGATCGAGCATAACATTGGTAGCTGATGCAGGATCACAAGGGTTGAATAGAAGTCTAAAAGATGGGCATGGACAACAGATTTGGGAACCTGTGGAGCTATAGGTTTTTAAGAAAGAAGCTTGTTTCCCTCTTAAAGGTATGGCATTTGATTGATTGATAACTAATTAACTGTTTACCTCTCCCACTAACTGGGTTACTTAGCAGAAAAGGGAGTTTGGTTTCCTAACCCCGAGCAGTAGTATAATGTAGTGGAAAACATCTAGGCACAAAATTTACTTGTTGAGGCTGGCTGTTTTTTTCTTTTCCTTTACATTTCTGCCTTTAAAGCCATGCAAGAAAATGGGTTAAATAACTTAACATCTACAAAAGGAAGCAAGCAGGAAACAGATATGGTCCCCTCACCAGTGGAGAGCAATATGCCATCACTCACACAAAAATTAGAACGACTTCCAAAGATTTGGTGACCACATGCCATGCAGGTTGCATTAAAAGGTTCCAATATACTGAGTCAGCTATGAAAAAGCCAGGTAAACACTTTAGACACAAAGGTTGGAACATACATCTCTGCAGTAAAAGCAAGCTGATTTATGGGTGGGGACTCAGAAAGGATAAATGTTATTTCAGGGTAGAGTGAAAAGTGTGGAATCAGAAGGATCAAGAGCATTTGATCAAAAACAGAATGAACAGTGCTGAGGACTATGCATTATTATCAGTTTTCTTTATTTACAGCTTGAGCTACTGCATGAGGCTCAAATAATGAAATTCTCTTGACATGAAAGAAGTCATAAGTTTTCATATTTTGTTCTACCCTGTTCCCCCCAAAATAAGACAGTGTTTTATATTAATTTTTCTCCCAAAGTTGCGCTAGGTCTTATTTTCGGGGAAACATGGTAGTTCTTGGTTTTCAGAATCTTTTAACGATTCATCAATAATTTAGAAAATTTGGATATAATTTTAAGCCTACCATGCATGTGTCTTCTGTAGCAACTTGTTTGGCACTGAGAACAACCCAATGCTCCTTTTCTCCTGCAACTGGTCTCCACAGAAAGCGCATGAGTCATTAATAGTCTTTATTAACATGCTGCCTAGGACCATCATAGAAAGCTGTGCCAAAAAGTCAACTGTGTAGGGAAGAGTTGCTTAACTGAGAGTCAGAAAAAAGATAATAGGACTGAGCTGAAATATGGCTTTAACTCAAAATTTCTCACCACAGCAGAAGGTTGTATGAAGGTCTTGAAAAAATATGGCGTGAAAGGCAATTTCAGAAATAAAAGGCCTATTTGAGGGTTGCAGTGGTTTTGGAAACAGGTAGGTCTAGATTTCAATCTCTATTTTGTAGATGTTTAACTTTATAGAGCGTCAACTTGCACCTCTGCAAAATGTGCTTAATACCACCTACTTATGCAAAGTGTGTGAGAAAGTGATGGGACGAAGTGCCCGGGCATAGCGCATGACACAGATTTTCCTTCTCGCTTACTTGTTTTCCTGGCTATTTCAATCCCTTGAACACCATGCCTGTCATTCTAGGTAGCTAATCCACAGTTTTTTTCTCTTCTGCATGGTTTTGGTGAGGGAAACATGTACAAGGTCCCTAAGTCTCTAAATTATTTCCTGAATATTTCACTCCCATATTACACTCATGCATACAATTTAGCCCATCAAATTCAAGAATGTGATAAAAATAATAACAAGTCCTATTGATTAATATTCAACATGTTAGCTCTGGCGGTTTCCAGTTGGTTCACCTTCTTGGCTGCCCTCACCTCTCCTTGCTCTGCCTTTGTGCCTCCTTTACTTCTTGGAGTGCACCCTGTCCCCGCCACTTCTAAAGAAGCCACTTTACCATTCTCTATTCATGATCCCATTTAAAGTCTTGGGTTAGCACATATCAGGATTTGACGTGTGTGTGTGTGTGTGTGTGTGTGTGTGTGTGTGTGTGTGTGTGTTGTAATCTCTCCCCGTTAGAAGATAAGCTTCCCCGAGCAGGGACCTTATCTGTCTCCTTCCCTTCGTTGGTGCTAAGGTCTAGAATAGTACCTGGTGCACAATTCTGTGCACAATTGTTATTGAGTGAGTGAATGCATTGAGAACAGCTTTTTGTAAGCCCTGTGCTTGGTCTCTGTAAAAAAGAGTACGGGGGTGGTGGTGCTGGTGATGGTAGATGGGTGATTAAAAGTATAGAAACTATAATTACTTTTCTTTCTTTTTTTTTTTTTAATATATTTTATTGATTTCGTACAGAGAGGAAGGGAGAGAGATAGAGAGCTAGAAACATTGATGAGAGAGAGTCATCAATCAGCTGTCTCTTGCACACCCCCTACTGGGGATATGCCAGTAACCAAGGTACATGCCCTTGACCAGAATTGAACCCGGGTCCCTTCAGTCCCCAAGCCAACGCTCTATCCATTGAGCCAAACCGGTCTCGGCTATAATTACTTTTCTTATTGCCCTTTACCTTTCCCCACATTATAGCAGGCCCGGGTTAAAAATGCTAATGAATGATGACTAACTAAAATTTTTTAACATCCTGCTAAGCAAGTCACTACTCTATCACCGATGGAGTAAACATACCTGTAAGTGTCTTATCGCAAATTTGTTATTGGAGAAGGAGAAAGACAAGTGGTTATTTTCAACATCTAAATAGTTCTCTTTCTTAAAAGACACAGAGCACAATTCACCTGACAGTTATCCAATGGTTACAATGCCATTTTGCAACAATGTAAGAGATTGAAATACAAGGAAAACCCACCGAAACTGTGACTTTACCAGGTACATCTAGCAGGGTGACAGATGAAAAGATTGAGTGAGTTTTAGTTAGAAAGACTCCTCGAACAGGCACTTATTAGTTGTATGACCTTAGGCAAATTGTTTCACCTCTCTGAGCCACAGTTTACCATCCACTTAATGAAAATAATCTTATCTAATTAATCCACTCAATTAATACTTAGTGAGTACTTGTTAGTGCCAGGCATTGGGAAAGTCTGATCAAGACGGTTCCTCTCCTTCAGAAGCTTGCAATCAAGTAGGAAACAAGGAAAAACAGTGCAATTAGAGTATCTAACCTAGTTGGTGAGTAGATGGTTCTGAAAAGGAAATGAAAACACCTATGGCAGCACAAGGCACAGCGTGGGCGCCCATGGTCATATATTTAATAAGTGGCAGCACTGGAACTTAATTCCAAGTTCAGTGTTCTCTCCATAATGTCACTTGTTGAAATGCAGATTCCAGGCCTAAGACCACATTTGGAAAACACAGCCACTTGCAACTAATTAAAAATCTCCAAGTATTACTATGATGTGAGATAAAAGAATGTCAAGTCAAACTGTAATAATAAAAGACAAGACGTCAGTTTCTGTCTATGAAGGATTAACTGCTGTGAGAATTTTCCCTTCTGCCATAAACAACTAGAAAACAGAACAAAATATATGAAACAACATTTTGCAATTACTGCACAACAAGTAGTACAGGACTGTGAGACAGAAAGGAGGAAACAAATGAGATAGTACCTACACAAGTGCTCAAGCTCGCTCCCAAGGCAGTTCCAGGCTACCGGTGAGGAAGGGGGAGCCAAAGAAGTCAATGCATCTCACCGAGTGGAAGAGAAAGAGCTGGAATTTGGGGAGGACGAGGCATATAGGACTTGTGGGGCAGAGTATCGTGGTTATAGCTATAGTCTTTCAGTTTGTGCACATCATCTTTCCCCCCTTTTCCCATGATCATCTGAATGAGCTCGGACATTAAGAGACCACGTTCTCTATGCTACTTACCAAGAGTAGTGAGCCCCTCTGAGATAGAGGTGAGAACATACAGGAGCACAGGAGGCTCCAAGTTGGTGATGAAGCTCATGTGGTCCTGGGTGAGGCATTCCAGGAGTGGGTAGTAAGACTGGCTCAGTTTCCGATATTGCTACAACACAGAGATACTGAATGTCAAGCCACAGAGAAGCAAAAGGCATGTTACAGTCCAGTGGAAATTGCCATCTAAAATAGTGGAAATGGTAAACTTACTTAAACAAAATAAATATAAAATAAATATATGAAACAAATGATGTAATGATTCTCAATTCAGCATTTATTTTTTATTAAAAAAATATTTTATTGATTTTTTACAGAGAGGAAGGGAAAGAGAGAGAGAGAGAGAGAGAGAGAGAGTGCGAGCTAGAAACATCGAAGAGAGAGAAACATCGACCAGCTGCCTCTTGCACAACCCCTACCTGGGATGTGCCCACAACCAACATACATGCCCTTGACCGGAATCAAACCTGGGACCTTTCAGTCCACAGACCGACACTCTACCGCTGAGCCAAACAGGTTTTGGAATCTCAATTCAGCATTTAAAGGGTTCTAATAGGAATCTCTTGATGTCCAGAAATCCTGACTTGAAGCTCCAGCATAGTATGTCATGTCAACTTTACCTTACCATGGTTAACACTTAAATACAAGCAAAATCTCTTCAGTATGGGATATGGAAGACTGAATTATTCTTCTGGACTAGAACATTATAAGCCTAACAATGGCTTGGCAACCTTTTTTCTCTTTAACACATGTAAGTTTCCTATTGTAATAGGATTTGGCGTTACAGTCTTCTTTATTTACACACTGTCAACCATTCTAACGAAACCATAATTTGGTAAATGGCTTAATATATACCATACACTAAAGGTAAGAGATAAGCACCTGAGAAAGATACTGGAAAAGCTGAAATAAAACTCAAACCAGTATCAAAAAAGTACACTCAAAAGAGAAGTAAAACGGAGCAATATATCCTAAAGTGAGATTACAACCATGTCAGAAGAACTTTGTGAGTGCTTGTTAAAAACGCAGTTTTCTGATCTTCATTCCAGATACACTAAGTGAAAAGTTCTGGAAAGAGGTCCCAAAATGGACCTTTTAAATATATACACTAAGGGAGCCTGAAGTACCCTTAAATTGGAGGATTACTGAGTTAGAAGATTGCTTGTCTATTAAAAAAAGGCTCAGAGCCTTGGCCGGTGTGGGTTCAGTGGTTAGAGTGCTAGCTTTTGCACCAAAGGGTCATAGTTTCAATTCCTAGTCAAGGGCATGTACCTGGGTTTGATCCCTGTTCCAGTTGGGGTGCATGGGGAGCCAACCAACCAATGTGCTTCTCTCACATCAATGTTTCTCTCTCTCCCTCTCCCTTTCACTCTCTCTAAAATATCAATGAGAAAAATGTCCTTGAATGAGTATTAGCAAAAAAGAAAGAAAGAAAGAGATCAGAATGTCAAGGAGCATTTCTCACACAAGCTGACTGATGAAGACCCCCCAGATCTTGTCACCTTGGGTTGGGAGCAGGTGGAAAAGCCTAAACGAAGCCTGAACATGAACTTGGCTGTGCTATGAAGCAATCACTGTAATAACACTGGGCATGTATTAGCTTTTATTTAACCAGGCAGAAATGTTTTTAAAAAAAGTCTCCTAATGACACAGCTCAGTAGAGGAGCCTTGAATTTGAATCTCCAACAAGCACCAAGGTGATTCTGATGGGCCTCAAGGTTTGAAAACCACCGACATAAATCACAGAAACTAGATGGCGGAGTAGAAAAGGGACCTAGAGATCACTTTGTTAAATTCACTCCTTTTAAAGGTGAGGAAATGAAAGCCTGGAGAAATAGAGAAGGTGATTGATTCACGGTAAGTGACCAGTGAGTGGCAGGGTTGAGACTACACTAGGCTGTGCGGCTTCCAGGTCAGCTCTCTGTCCACCACCCAGACTATTAGTGGACATGCAGGCCACACAGCAGGGGAGGCAGATAGGAGAATGGGAGGGGAAGAACCTGCAGCCAACCCTGCATTTCCTCCTGCAGAAAAAGGGACCTTTGCTAACTTATAAGAATGGTTGTAAGCAATTAGTTGAAATGGCTAATTATATTTTCTCTAGGTGCAGAACTTGGAGCACTCTGGACTACTAATTTGTCAGAGGGTGGGAGCTGCGGTTTTTAAAATTGCATGTTTAATTATACCAACGGAGCTACCATACTTGCTCAAAGTTCAGTAAGTTAAAGCAAGCTGCTGACCTAAACTGTAAAATGTCCTGGTGCTGTGCTAACTCCCCAAGCTTCATTATCTCAATTCCAAGTCACAGGGGTGTGACTTTTCACGTTTCCTACAAAAGGCTCCCATGATGCGAGGTTGCTTACCAGCAAGTCACTGTGGGACACTGACAGCAGCATTTTGACAAAGGCCTGGAGTACGTTGTCAAAATGGTTGTCCCCATACAACTTGAAGACGCCAAAGCTGACATAATTTCCACACAAGGCAGATTTGAGAGCCGAATAGCAGATGGAGATGCCCTTGAGTTTCATTGGATAAATCTGATCTTTTGAGAGGCTCCCGAGGGACAGGATCTGATTACCTGTTTTAGGGTAAAAGCAGAAAGAGAAAGTGATATAAGTAGATACAATTCAAAGCAGTTATGAGGCAGCCTAGCTCACATTTTTGCTTTACTGCTTATGCTCACTTCCCTACTATTGTTTCAAGAATTACACCATTCATGTAATGAAAATATAAACATAAAGCAGTTTACCTGGCAGGCACAAAGGGCCCAAGGAATCAATCAAGGGCATTAGGAAATATTTTTTATTTTTATCTGGATGTATACAAAGATACATAAAAATTCATTGTAGTATTCAGGATTAGTTCACTTTTTGTACTTTGATATGTGTTATCCATTCTTCAGTAAGTTGTTAAAAAAGTAGGAGTAAATGTAAATAACCAACTAAGTCAAGAGAAAAAGATAACCTAGACTGAGATATAAATTACATGAAATTCTGGGTGAATTCTCAACCCTTTAACCGTTAGGACCCTCACAGGTTTGGTATACGAATTAAATGAAATGAGACACATAAGAGAGGTTCATGGCACAGCACACAATAAACGTTCCTTCCTTTTTCTCTTTAGATCCTTTTGCAGAAGATCTCAAGAGATGACTGCTTTGAAAACTGTACTTAAATTCTAGGTTGACCATCAAAAGACAAAGAAATGTTTATACAATCACCTTAACATTTACAACCAACAATTTGTTTCTGAATGTTTGCCAGTAAGGTATAGTCTAGGCAAAACCCAAGAATGCTTTTTCAAAAAATATAAAGTTGTGAATGTTTCTTAGCTCTGTCTTTTCCTGTTCAAGTAAGTACCACTTCTAAAATGGAAAGTGAATGCAACTTACAAAATTTAGAGGTACACTGCTGTGATTTTGTACTGTGTCAACTTGGCTAAATAAGAATTAACTTTCCCAGAATCCATTTCCTGTATAGTTGTGGGCTAGAATTGGGCAAAACAGAAACTCATCTGAGATTTGGAAGGTTGAGGGGAAGTAGCCACCTTCTTAAGGCCATTGTGATCAGAAATGGTGAGAATAAGATGTAGAAATGCCACTGGTTTCAGTCTGTCCCTGCTCTTCCTGCTGTGTCTGGAGCTACCAGCCCTGCTGACCAAGGATCCCAAGATCACTGCCAAGCTCCTAGCAGCAAACTTGCAGAGCGGCAGCTATGCAGAGGCAGCAGTCTCTCACTGAGGTCCACGCCACTACACCAGCCCTTCACCACCTCTTTTCATGTCCACTCAGCAGGTGGGTGTGGGAAACTTCTAGATTTTCCTGCCAGCTTCAACTTGTCCATCCACGTCATTGTTTCAGGAGCACTAATCAGTGATTTTTCTCCTCAACTTCCAACTCTCCTCACTATTTCCCCATCTTTGCCCAAGATTGTACAAGGTCTAATAACTCCTAAATCAAATTTCCTGTCCCACAACTATCAGAGTGCTTGCTTCCCATTAGAATCCCGAATGTTTATCATGGTAACCACATGTGGACTAAGAGGTTAAGCATAAAACCACTCTTGGCTGGTCTAACTGAAACGTGTCCATATACAGGTTTTCTTCTGTAGGAGCTCAGAAGCCCATGCAGCTTTGCTTATCATTTACACACATGGATGACAAAACCATTGTCCGGAATGCTGAAGCATACCTTGGAATTTACTCCGTATCAACTTCTACACCCTCTCTCATCATCTTATCCTAACTCGCCTTACAGACAGTGATTTCCACACAGATTCAATGCAATATGACAGCATTAACTTAACAGTTCGTGTGTGTGAGGTGCTGGGAAAAACAAATGAATGAAATGAAATCTCTTCTCTGATGGAATTCAGTCTGCTGGAGGAAACAGATCTGTAAAAATAATTGCATGTAAGGTGGCACACACACAGAGATGTCAAGATGTATGGGAGAGAAGAAACGGACACTGCTTGGGCAGGAGAGCATGGGAAAAGACACCATAGTACAGGTTACTTCTCAAGGAACGGCTGCAGTTTCCCAGTTCAACTTGGAGGGAGAGGAATGGATTCCAGGCAGTGAAATGCACAGGTGTGAGGGCTAAGAAAACAGGGCAGTGCAGGACAGGACAGCTGTCAACCACTGCTTGCCTACCTTTGCCTCAAATCAATGTAAACCAAGGAGGCCTTTCCCAGGAAAGAAAAGCACAGTTCCATGTGATGGGAAGAGCCAGAGTAGCTGAGGACTGGTGGTAGTCTATGCATTTTGGGTCATCTTTTGGGATCTTTTTATGCTAATGTCCTTCAGAGGGAAGTAAAGGTCCTACATTCTTCAGCACAAGGTGGAATAGGCAGACCAAGGTTTCTGTTGGGGTGGGGGAAGGGAGGGAATGACTGGCTAACTTATCAGCAAGAAGGATTAATTATTTAGAACCACAACGTTTACCTTCATGTGAAAGTTGCAATTTGGCACACATGTCTCTTGGACTGTTTCAGACACATCTGTGTTAATTAAAACAGTGAATAGTATATGACCGTGCTACATAGAATGAGTAATACTTCTGAAATAGGAAACACTTATCTCATTGTGCTCCAGCGCCTTGGGGGCATTTCATGGTGGCTATAAAGACTATGGATACAAATGAGCAAACAAACAAAAACTAGACACAGAGAACAGTATGGTGTTACCAGAGGGAAAGAGGGGTGCGAAGTAGTAAAGGCTAAAGGGGGTCAAACAGATGGTGCCTCTGGGTAGTAAATACACAATGCAATATGCAGATGTATTATAAAGCGGAACACTTAAAATTTATATCATCTTACTAATCAATGTCACCACAATAAGTTTAATTAAAAAAAGAAGGCGTGGCTAAGTTGTCAATAATTGACTCTAATTCAGCTTTATTCAACAATACTTATTGAAATTGGAGGCCCTGCCCTCAAATACTTAAAGGAGCGGTCGCCAACTTTTCAGACCTCCCAGACCACTGGTTGGCGACCGCAGGGCTGCGGTTTGGTTCTGATGTTCCATTATAGGTGTGACAACTCTGCTTGCCTTCCCTGCTCCATCCGGGGCCTGGAAATCCCATCTCCTTCCTTCTCAGCATGTCCCTCTGGAGAGAAAGGCCTGTTACACGGACAGGCAGCTGGAGTCGGAGGCGCTGCCAGCCCGGCAGCCCCTGCAGCCAGCAACAGTTGCCACGTTGGTACTATGGGAGCTGCACAAAGGAAACCCTGCAACCTTTCCCCATGGACTACATCTGCCATGGCTGGGGTGGGAAGGAGGTGCCCGTACACCTTTGACATCAGTCCTGGCTAAGATGGCTGTGGAGGCGAGAGGCTGGGCTGTGGGAGAAGATGGACGGTTCACCTGGCCAAAGGCCACAGTAGGGGAAAGGAGGCCCAATGCCAGGACCTGCCATCCTTCCTCTTGGACGTGCTGCTCCGTAGAAAAGATATACTAATGAGAACGAACCGGGAAATAAGCACAGAGGAAGTCTGATTCAGGTAACTGGGCTCTTTAAATATTTCCCTCAGTATTAGTGCACATGAATGGTTGGGTTCCTCTTTTGTAGCCCCTACTCTGTCCTCTGGGGAAGCCTCTTTCGTTTGCTTGGTTTTTGGTTAGCTTCCAGCACTCAGAAGTACTCTTCTAGACAACTTTCAGGATCTAGATTCAGAGAGGGATGTGTATATAAAGAGGTGAAATCTCTTTGGTTTATCCTACATCTACTTTCAGATCTATTTTTTTAAAAAAATATATTTTTTATTGATTTCAGAGAGAGGAAGGGAGAGATAGATCAATGATGAGACAGAATTATTGATTGCTGCCTCCTGCAAGCCCCCTATTGGGGATTCAGCCTGCAACCTCAGCATGTGCCCTGACCAAGAAACGAACCCGTGACCTATTGGTTCATAGGTAGCTCAACCACTGAGCCACACCAGCCAGGCTATTTTTATTTACATTGTTTCCTCTGACACACCCCTCCCCTGAGTGGCTGAGTCCCTAAAGTTCTTCCCTTCTTCCCCACCCTGACAGAGGAGCAACTCCCTGCACAGCCTCCATTGGAGAACTGGAGAAAAGAGAACACCCCAACGGAAGATAATTAAGTTCATAAACATGCAGTGATGAACTGGTGGGCTTCTGAGTCATTCTGACCTAGGCTTTGAGTCCTACATCTTCTCTTACTACCTGGGTGTCTGGGCAGATTACTATCTCTGTAAGTCAGTTTCTTCATCTGTAAGATGAGAATAACAACAGTCCCTATAACTCACAAGGCTCTTACAGGTATGAAGTGGAGGAAAGGAGACAGTGTGTGTAAAGTGCTTACCCCAGTGCTCTGTGAAAGTCAACTACAACAGCACACGGCACCAGGGGCCATTTCTCTCGCCAGGCTAATAACCGTGAGCTCACACCTGGGGAGCCATGGCCTGGAAAGGGGGAGGAGGTGGAGCTGGGTGTGGGTGGTGTGTAATAATGTCACTTCCTTCTAGTTCATAATTCAATGTAAGGTCGCCTCTTTATCTGTGACCGCCTTCCCTCAGTTCCTTCAATGGAGAAATGGCTCCAGGGGGGCAGTGTGGTGCTTTCACAGAATACTTAGGGAAAAAAGGTAGGAGGGATAAGATACGACAGCAGCATGCTGTACCAGAAAGAACTAACAGTATGAACAATGCTATTTCCTGGCTTATAAAGCAATCCATTAAATTGATTTATCTTTTCTTTTTCCCTTTTAATCTCTAAAGTTTTAAAGTGAATTTGATGTTTCGCTGACAGCTCTCCAGGCTGTCTTCATTCATCATCAGAACAGCTACGGGGAGAGAACCGCCAGCTTGCCCTTACTTCAGGTCACTCCTCCCTCGGACTCTGTGCAAACCAGCCATGGCCCCTGGACCTAAATAGTTTGGGATAGACCTGAAGCTGTAGAGACTGGAGAGGAATACATTTCCCTTTTAGATGGAAAAAAGTTAAAACGATGTAGTGCGAATAAGCTTGTGGGAAAACTAAGAAAACAATAGGAAATGTATATTAGTACAACCAGTCTAGAAGGCAATTTAGTAATATTTATTAAAAAGATAAAAATGC